ATATGTAAACCAATAATTATCTATATTATTAGATAAAAGTAGATAAAATTATATTAATTCTATAATATCTTCTATAAAAGCTTTTTAGAAGTTTCATAGATACTAATTTGACTTTATAGGTATCTATAATTGATTTTTTAGATTAAAAACGTGGTCAACAAGTTAACCATGTACCACACATGTTGGTAGCTTAAAAGACAAGCTAATTATGAGGCACATATATAGAAAACTTGTCTTATAAGTTAAAACATGTATTCTATAAAGTCAATATATATTAGAAGTCATATAGAACGTCGCCATGTAGCTCTTAATTAGATAGTATATATAGAGGTAAGAATAAAGTCTTCTTTTCTCTTGTCAATTTCTTTCTTACTTCTATTCTAGATTCAAGAATCTCTAGTTTCTTTATCTTTTGACAATAGCTATTCCAGTTTCTTTTTAATATACATACCTTTTTATTTCTATTTTTTTATACTTATTTATTTACTTTTATCAAATTCTTCTCTCTAACATAAAATTCAGATGCAAGTTAATAAATATTTGCTATAAAAGAACTATAATTCATGAAAGATTACATTTGATTTTTAATTTTTGTTTGTAGTTTCTATGTATTTGTAGCTCTAAAGAGATGGAAAATCAAGAACTAATAGATTCAATTCAAAAGCCATCATTTGTTGACTTATTGGATAAGACATTATAATTATCATAGCCTTTAAGACAATATAATCAACATGAAGATTGTCAAGAATAATAAGTTATCCTTTAAATAAATGGCAAAATATAATGCATTTAATATCATAAACTTGAAAGACACTTCTAATGTTTGGTGATTTCATTCGAAGTAGGAACAACTCTTGATGATATTATAAATGTTTTGTTTGAAGGAAGTTACAAAGTCCTAAAAAATTATCAAATAATAGGTTGATAATTTTACCTTTGAATGAAATATTATTGAAGGATGAGAAGACCTATTAACTACCTTCAAAGAAAACAAAGATTAGAGTATGTCGCAAATATAATTCACTATATCTTGAACTTCTTCAACATGTAACAATGCTCTTTGTAGATCTTATCTTTAAAAAGAAGAGAGGTAGAGGAAAATAATATCATAGATATATATATATTTATTCTAATAATTATCTAGATATAATAAATAAATAAATATAAGTTAATTAATAATATCTTATAAAGAAGCTTCTTAAAAACTTCATAGACAAGATTTCATCTTTGTACATGTCTATATGTAATTGATAGGTTAAAAACTTGGCCAACAAGTTAGGCACATATTACATATATTGGTAGCTTGTGATACAAGCTAATAATGTAGTCAACATATAGGAAACTTGTATTATAAGTTAAAACAAGTATCTTGCAAATTAGACATGTATTAGAGGTCTTGTAGAACATTGCTATGTAGCTTTTAATTAGATAGTATATGTAGAGACAAGAATAAAGCCTTCTTCATTCTTGTTAATGCCTTTCTAGTTCTTAGTCTTATTTTTAGACTTTTTAGTCTACTTATTTTTGGTAATAATCACTTCAATTTTAATATTATATTATTTTTGAATAAATAACTATTTTTTTTGAATTACACAAGAATGTATTGAATTTTTGGTTATTTAAGATCTATATCCTTGATATTCAAAATAAAAAACAAGTAGCATTGACATTGTCATTTTACTTATTCTACAATTTCTTTCAGAATAAATATGTATAGGGGAATTCAAACACATTGAAAGACTAAGTGCATGAGTTTTTCTTGTTAGGGTCACACAATTAACCATATTCCAAACCACTAAAATACTAAGAAACACTATAATGCTTTCTCTCAGTAACAATACTCCTTCATCAACTGATAACAACAATGTGCAATCTTGCACTGCCAAAAGACCGCTCAAAACACATAATTTCTATCCAACACCAAAAATAACAGACTTCACTCCAACCAATCTGAATTCACAGAATTTCTATAATCACCAACTTTCTTTGTCCAAAACACACACAACTCTCAATAAACAGCAATCATAATCTTCCAATAACTCCTCATATATTTCAATCTCTCAGTACTCTAATTACATAATCAATAACTCATAAATCAATCTTTGATTTATTCCACAGACTCACTTCTCAATATTTGGAAACTATCCATTATTCTTCAATAACAAAGAAAACAAAGAAACAAAGAGGTAGTACCAAGCTTACCCCGGCTCATGACTATCATAGTCTGGCATCCAACAAACTTCTACAACTTCTATATAATTGCTCTTGATTCCCAGATTCTAATTGTAATCCTATAATTAACCACTTTTAATAACTAAATCAATCATCTGTCCTCCTAAACTGACTATTCTATGGATTATTAGTCTATTTTATCAATATCTTACAGAAACGAACTAATATCTATTCTACAAGCACTATTGTCTTTAGAAGTATCATAGAATTATTAGATGAAATAAAAAATAGTAATTTTTTTTTGTAGATTCTATTAGTAAAGGATAAATTAAAAAAAATATATAAGCAATATTTATTAAAAAAATCTAATTATTTTAAAAACTTAAAAGAATTTTAGTCTTGATTTAGAAATTATATTATTTTAAAATTAATTGAAAGCCTTGCATATTGAAAAAGAAAAAAGTTACTACATATTCAATAAGAGCTTTTACACTTTAATACTTAAAGAGGCTAAAAAAAAATGATGAAAGTAGAGATTATTATATATTCTATAAGATTGAAATAATGAAGATAAATATAAAGAATAGTGGCATAAATCTCATGGCTTATTAATTGCAGATAGATTTAATGCATTATTAGAAAAAAATATTGTCGAAAAGGCTATAGAATAGTTGGAAGTAGATATCTTTCTATTAGTATTTGAAGTTCTTGTACGTGAATTTTATGAAACAAAGACCTTGATATTAAGTAGAGTAATTTTAAGTTTTTGATAATAATCTCTTAATCATTTTTTAATATATCTTAGTTTTCTTTGATTACATTATTTTCTTCTAAAATCATAATTATGATCTTTTTTACTTTGATTGTTATCTTTTTATCTTTAAGTCCTTTACTTGAGCTTCTTATGCTTATTAACTTTTATATTTTGATAATTTCTACATTCTTATGATCTAGCTAGGACTTTAGTTGTTTGATTGATAATAGATATAATCCTGGACAAAAATTCTTAAAAATATTCCAAAACTTGTATTCAATTTGTCTTTGTTTTTCCATGCTTAGAACTAAAGATACAAAAAAGAAGGAATATTAGACATATTAACTATACTTAATTTCTTAATACATCATAGTATATTTTTAAATAATAAAATTTATAATTTTAGAATATAAATTTAACAAGTAATCTTTTTTATTAATGATGTAGTTAAAAGACATCATTGTTGGAAAGCGCCTACAAAACTTGGTTCTATTGTACAACAAAATAAGATGTTCTTTTAAAAAAAGATATTGAATAAAAGACAAAATACAAATTGGGTGAGAGTAAAAAATATGAAGAAAAATGTACCTTGTGTAATGGATAGTTCTTAGGTAGAGAAGCTATTATTAAAAACCTTCAAAGTTTCAATAATTTTGTTCTTAGAAACCTTCATGGATCCAATTAGTTTGAATTTTTATGCTCCCATGTTATCCAAATTTCTTTAGTTCCTTTTTTCACAATCAATTAGAATGCATCTTCTTGTCTTTATCTTAAATCTAAATTATTATATGTAATAAATATATTAAACTTCAACACAAAGATATTCAAAATAAGAATTCAATAATATCTTTTAATATATATAAATATATATAAAGATAAAGAAAGAAAGAAAGATAATAAAGCCATACTCCTATTGTCATTTTATCATTAATTTTGTCCATTTCTTGATTCTGTCCTTTATTTCAAGTTCTTATTTCTTATCTCCCATTCATAGCCTCCCGTCCCTCATTTCCAACCTTCCCATCTTTCATTTCCAATCCCCCCCCCCTTCCTTTTCTCCATCCCCTGTTCTCAACCCTCCCATCCCTCATTCTCAATTTTTTTTTTTTTTTTTTTTTTTTTTTTCTTTTTTTTCTCTATCTTTTGTCTCTTGTCCTCCATATCAAACCACCATGTTTAAGAGATTTTTCCAAATGAACATTTTAGATGTTAATTATGAAAATCTATAAATTTTACTTAAGAAAAAAAATTGAAGTATTATCAAAAAATTGTTGGTACTTTCAATGTTTTAATTTCTTTCAATTTAAAATCTTTTTAATTTCAATGTCTTGTTTTAAATTCCTTTTATAATGTTTAATAAAATTTTCTGGAATATAAATATAAAAAAACTAAATCAAAATTTAATTTTAATTTAATTTAAAAATCAATTATTGCTACAAAAATAATGAATTTTTAAAAAATATATTATATTATTATAGAAAAATATATAGATATTAATTTTAAAATAATTTATTTAAAAAAATAATAAAAAAAAATTAAATCTTTTATATAATCAATCTTGAAGAATAATATTATTCATTCAAAGCTAGAAAACTTATTCTCTGTGTTATATTTTGTATTTTTTAATGGTATTATGTGTATCTATATGTTTATGTCTTTATTAATCATAATTTTTTTTTCAAAGGTTATATGTATACTTTAAAAATGTTTTTCTTTTTTTTCTTCTTTTTTTCTTTTTAATTCATGATCGAGCTATATGATCAGATGCAAGGTTAAAATGATAAAAAAAAAATATATTCTTTGAAATTTGTATTGCAATCAAAACATATGTTTTGCATATGTTTTGATCATCCCTTATTAGGCCGTGTGGGAGAAATCATCGACGTTTCTGTGTTTTTTTGAAGGAGGTCGGTCTTGGTCATACCTCATGAACGTGAGATGGGTCATGGTCATAAGCCCTTTCCACGGTGAAAAGAGCGAAGCGGTCATACGAACCATGCAATGAGTCCGTCGCTCTACCCGAAGCAAAGTCCAACATATATTCTGGCACAATGATCGTACAAATTGAGTCACATGCTGGGCGGAGGCAGCCGAACGTTTCCATTGACCCGACCCAACCCGCGCTCAACACTAATGAGGGAGGTCTTCTCTCTCGCTCTCAACTCCAGCACCTGGAACTGCTCTGCGTTGCTCCACCTCGTCTCGCCTTCTTGTCGTCATTTTTATCTCCATTACTCCAGATCGTGTGCATTTTTATCTCCATTCTTCCAAATCTGCGGATTAAAATCGTGGCGTTTGCTGGAATTTTTCATCTGCGTCTTCGGGCATTTTTCAAGACAGTTTAAGGCATTTTCAGTGCGGTTTCGTGGTGCAGAGAAGGTTGTTGTCGATTAGAAATGTGGAAGTGTTAATTGTAGTTGGACAAGGGGCACCGCGATCGATTAAGAGCATCCCGGAAGCGTTCGAATTCAGGATTGTTTTTTTTCCGGACACAATGGTAGGTTCCATAACTTTTTGTGCTTGGCCTGATTGTCTGTGGGCTTAAGAGGGTTAGAGAGTTTGATATCTGTTTGCCCGTGTATTTGTGCTAAAGTGAGATTGTCTTACGTGCGGCAGGTGGTGTTAGCAGCCTCTATCATCAGCAAGTCCGGGAAAGGTACGGCTTGTGCACTTTAATTTTTTTTTCCGTGCTCATTAGTCTGTTGTCTTGTGTTGCGAGTATTGGTCACGGCATTGTGAGTTGGAAGACTTTGCGAGGATATTGTTGTCACGTCTAAACACGTGACCATGTCTCGGGTGGTATTGATCGAGCCGAGCAGAACAAGAATATGTTAACACTTTGTGAAGTCTGGAGGGTGGCCATTCTCGGCGGAGGGCTCAGTCTTTGTCAGGATCGTTGGTGACGTAGTTGATGACAATTAGGAGATACTTCATAAACTTGTGAATGAGTACATTGTGCTGTAGTTCTAGACTCAGGCGTGTGGTCAAGTTTGGAAGTGTTCTAGCTGAAACATGTGGTGACTTGGAACATGATACTTGTAAGTTTTCATATCGCATGATGGCAGCACAATTCTTTTGAGGTGCTGGTATAGTCTCCCTTCAGAAACCGTTACTTGTTACATTTACTGTGTTCGAATGAGCGTCCTTGAACTATATTATGTTGCCTTGATTTGGTCATTTTTATCTCGACGTGTGGATAGTGGTATGCATATTATTGGATTATTGAAGACTTTATTGCATAATTGTAATCTGAAAAAGATTCATATTGTTTTGCAGCTCTTGTTTCTCGGCAATGTGTGGACATGTCTAGGATTCGAATTGAGGGGTTGCTCTCTACCTTCCCCAAGCTTGTTGACATCGGCAAGCAGCATACATATGTTGAAACAGACAATGTTCGTTATGTTTATCAGCCGATGGAGTCGTTGTACCTTCTTTTGGTGACCAACAAGCAGAGCAACATTTTAGAAGATCGCGATACCTTACAAACACTCTCCAAGCTTGTATCCTTCTCAATTGCTTATTTTGTTGTGCTTCAATCCCAAAATTCATGTCAATACCACTGTGCAATCATCACACGGGTGGTCACAGACCTTTTTTTTTGTCGGGTCACCTGCGAACCATGTCATTCTGAGTGGGCCAAGTTTTCCTCTGAACTTTCCCTCATTAGGCATGATCTTAGTGTTGACTAACATGGGCAAGTGCCTGGGCATAATCGCTTCTAGATTTTGTGCATCGGAATTGTTTTAATCCTTGACGCATGCCAGGTACCGGAATACGTACCATCCCTCGACGAGGAGGGTGTCTGCAGGATGGCCTTTGAACTCATATTTGCGTTCGATGAAGTGATCTCCTTAGGTCATAAAGAAAACGTCACTATCGCGCAAGTCAAACAGTACGTGGAGATGGAGAGCCATGAAGAAAGGATGCACAAGCGCATGATCGAGAGCAAAATAAATGACTCTAAAGATCTCATGAAGCGCAAGGCCAATGAGATCGAGAAGAATAAGGTGTGTTATTTTGTGATGTATTTTTAGTACATATTTCTTTAGATTGACTTTGATTTTATCTACTCTCACCCTAATCATTAGGTGAAGAAAGCCCGCACGTATGTAACGAAAGCGGTGTCAATGAGGTACATTACTTATCATTGCTCTAAACTACAGTGATCAGGTATTGGATTGATGAAAACGCACATGAAGGTGCTTCTACGGGGTCTTTCACTGAGTTGGTTATCTTGCAAAGATGCATCTCGTTGTTTTGTTAGTAATGATTTATTGAATTCCATGTCTGAATATATAGATCGAGAAAGGTAGAGGCGGTAAAGGAAATTATGTTTCTTCCATGTCCTCAATGAGCTCAAGGTTTGACAATAGCTTCGAAGGCACGGACTCATCAATGGGTGGAGGTGTGAGAAATAATTCAACCAGCTTTGGATCAGGCCTTGATTACGATACCTTCAAACCTCCAGGTGTGCTTATTTAGCAACGCATTTCTTTACATGGTATTCTGTTTAAATTTGGTTATTTGCTAGTCCCAGTTCGATAATTACATGAACGTCTGATGCATAGACTGATTCCCATATTCTGCTATTTCAGCCCGTGTTACTTCTACTTCAGCTCCTTCAAAAGGAGGCATGCAACTGGGCAAGTCAACTAAAGCAAATCAGTTCTTGGAGTCCCTGAAAGCGGAAGGCGAGGTTATTGTTGAAGACGTTGCACCTGGGCCAGTCAGGTCATCAGCTGCTTTGCCCATCAGTTCAGATCCTATTATGGTGGGTGTGGAGGAGAACCTTGTGGTCGTTTTGAAGAAGGATGGAGGACTTGAGAACTTGGAAGTGCAGGGTAACATGTCTCTTGTGGTGCAAAAAGAAGAGGATGCCTACATTCGGGTTCAGGTGCTTAACTCATCCATGTTGTCCGAGTTTTCTTTTTTTTATATTTATTCTAGTTCTATAAATATCAACGTTGCTCATGTGGAGCATCAAACAATTTTTTAGCTGACCGTTTTCTATTCAGGTTGAATCAAGTGAAAACTCGAATTTCAACTTCAAGACGCATCCAAACATTGATAAGAATCTTTACTCAGAGAAGAATGTTTTGGGTCTAAAGGATTCGAGTAGGCCGTTTCCTACAGGAAATCCTCTGGACATCTTGAAGTGGCGCATGCAAAGCAAGCAGGATTCAATGGCTCCCTTGAGCAGTAAGCCCCTGTATAACCTTACTTTGTAATTAAGTAAGAAATTGAATGTTTATTGTATGGTGCACATTCATGTGCTATATGTAAAGATATACATGTAAGGCTTGCCTATGGTTATGAATGCTCTTTATTCCTCTTTTAAGTGACTGTTATTTCATTTCTTTTTGTGGTGCATGTTGTGCTGATAAGTATGTATATATTGTGATAGCTATGAATGAAATTGTTGTTGGGGCTATTGAAGGCATCATTTTTTTCATTATTTTTTCAGTTAATTGCTGGCCATCCGTTTCCGGTGGAGAATCGTATGTTAACATCGAATACGAAGCTTCTAGAACATTTGAGCTTCAGAATGTTGTTATTCGTATACCTTTGCCAGCAATTCGTGATGTCCCGGCTGTAAACCAAGTAGATGGCGAATGGAGGTCAGTGGATTTTCAAACTGCGAACTAAGTGCATACCGCTACCCTAGTGAACCTTATCTCCTATCTTACTAATGCACATTTTCTTTGTAGTTCTCGGAATGCGAATCCTGATCCTGATTGCATTCTGGTATGTGCCTTCAGGTATGATTCCAGGAATTCAGTATTAGAGTGGTCCATCACGCTGATTGACAATTCTAACAGAAGGTACGACTGAGCTTGCCTTGCAAGAACCTGCTGTTGGTGAGATGCACACTTCAAGTCAACTGCTCGTCTAGGTTCACTTCTTGACTATCAGCATCATCTGATTATCTTCTTGGTGCAGTGGATCTATGGAGTTTGTGGTACCTGCAGCAGATCCAAATTCGTTTTTCCCTATAGATGTGAAGTTTACATCAAACAAGACCTTCTGCGATCTGAAGGTATGTGTCCTCATGCTAGACTTCTTTGATGTAAGAGTTGAAGGGTTGGTTGGCCATATCTAAAATGGAAGTTCGACCTTGCTTATGTAACGATTTGTGATTTTCCGGTGCATTTTTGCAGGTTGGATCCGTAATTCAGACTCAGAGCGGTAACTCTGTAAAGTTCGGAAAACGGACGCAATTGGTGGTGGATAGTTATCAAGTTGTGTAAAGTTCAGTTGGAATGTTCAGATGGTAGCCTGTAATGTAGATAATATAAGGAATGGTCATCTTGTCCTTCTCTTCGATTGCAGTGGATGCGCCAGGTTAAGGAGTGTTAGCAAAACACAAGTTTACATCCTTAGTATTTTATAGGAGGGTGCCTGAACTATGTCCCGGCGCATTTTAGTTGCTTTTAGGGGTGCATGTGCACGAGCTATAGAGAGGGCAGTTGTAAAATTGATTTTTGGTCGAGATGGAAGGATTGGATCAGGGACCAGTTGTTAGTTAGGTCTGGGCAGGATAATTGAGGCTGCAAAAGCGGGAGACTTCTTGTTTCTCTCCACAAGGTCGTTATACTTGAGTAATTAAGCTTAGAAAATTGGACCACGGAGTAAGATGGACGTTGAGTCTGTCTCTTGGCCGATGTGTATAGACTATATCAGTTCGGGTTGGGAATTGCTAAAATTCGTCCAATGCATTTTTTTTTACTACAGTTTTGCTGAGCTCAAACTTGAGTTTGAGTTTTCTTTGTGACCTTGCATAAAATTGTAGCCGTTCAAGTGGGCACTATTTTGGGTTTCAATTAGTTACCGCCCTGAAGCTGATGGTGTCACTAGGACTATCAGCTGTACTTCACGTGTGCTGTCAGGGTCTATTGCCTCGTGTATCCTTCACCAACTTGTGCATCCAAACCAATTAGGATGTTGCTAATGTCACCACTGTTTGTTATTGACAGATTGTGGTAACATTAACAATACTACCATAAACTGTGGTGACATGTGGTGGATGACAGATTGAGGTAGCATTAACAATACCCAAAAGTTATCCAAAAAAGCTTGAAAATGGTAGTCAAATTTACTATTGCCATTGCTGACTTGTGTTTCTACATTGTGTTAGGGCTTTGAACATTTAATGCTATATTTGGTATTGTGGTTAGCATGATGTGCTTGAATTTGCTCCAAATCAAGCATCTGCTCTGGATAAAGTACTCTGACCTTGGTAAAGCTTACCTTTAGTTTGTTAATAGATTTAGTGTTCGCAACCCAGTTGCTGCACACATGAAGAAGTGATTCCATTCAATTGTTGATTTGGGGCCATACAGCAAGTTTTTAGACCAAAAATATTTTAAGAAATAATTCAAGCAAGCAGCCAGCGTTGACAAAGTTACACACGGTCGCCCTAGAATAATAACAAACAATCCAGGTCCACAACTACAGATGATAAATAGTAAACAGCTGACAAAAAACAAAATAAAATAAATGTTGATGCATCACACATGTGCCTAACAGAGTCTTGTAAAATAACTATTTAAACAGCTCTTGCAAGCAAGCATATGTGTGAACAATAAGAAAAAAGTTGATTGGCATGGTCCCATTGGTATAAATTATAACATATAAAAAACCAGAGATGACTGGAGGAACAAAAAAGACATGCCAAAATCATGTTCTAAAAGAATACAAAAACTTTAAAAGCTAGAAAGCACATTTACTAATAAACCACAAGATGCTTCAAATGATTAATGACGTTACTGCGTTTCACTTGGAAGAGACTAGAAGTTCGTTTCAACTGCCACAAAATCATGACAACGTGGCGCACGTTTAAGAATCTACATAAGATTTTTATTTGTTTTTTTTTATTTTTTATTTTTTGTATTTGTGGGTAAATTTGGGCACTATTGACTCTGCCAGGCGATGTAATCATTAAGTGGTTGAGTACATTGAGGCACAATCTTTACATTGAGGCTCAATCTTTACAATGCTCAGACAGAATGTGAGAAGCGCAAAGGAAGAGAATGTATTATTGTATGAATTGAATGTCTTGTGGGGTGCTGTTGATGTGCCGCAGATTCGGTGTAGAATGCGCACGACACAACACAAACAAACAAACAAACAAATTGACGGAGGCATGACTGGGATTGAAGAAACTAACAGATCAGAATACTCACACCAAAACCAGATCTGAATACTCAAACGGAGCATCGTCACATTGAGTAATTTTTTGAAAAAACTGTGGGCCGTTGAAATCCTTGTTAGTGGAATTGAAGTGTTGAGGTTGAAAAACAATAAATAAAAATTGGTGTTCGTAACGCCATCTCAGCTGGATTTTAGGGTTTGAGGACTCATCAATTTCATGTGAAGGCACAAGGTCAAATCTGGAGTTTTGATTTATTCATTTTTTGTATTATTTTTTATGGAATGATCTTCAACTATTCAAAAATGATAAGTTGCATTGAAAGTATATACATTAGTAGTGACAAGATTGGTGGTTGAATCCCACCTGGAAAATATCAATCATGCTTGATAGGTTCTATTACAAGGTTTATTCCTACAACTTGAATAAAAAAATTAATTAAATTTTTAAAATCTTGAATTTTGAAATTTGTTGCAATATAAAGTGATCTTGATTTGGTCATCTTTTCTTTTGTATTTTTAGCTTGAGTGGATCCTCTTCTAGTGTATACCAAGCAAGAGCAAAGATCTTGAACAAAAACATCTTATTAAGAAGATTGGCAATATGAATCTTGAGAATATTAATTAAAAAATGAATGAAAATAAAAACAAAAAGAAAGAAAAAAGCCATGAGTGCATGCATGTTGAATATGATTGAGTTTGGTGACATTAGGAATTTCTATTGTGAATTAGTAAAAGTATCAAAGAATAGAGATATTATGCGAACAACAATTCTAATTAATAGTCTTAATTAGAATTTTACATTTAGACTTATTTTTTAATCAAATAGAACTATCATATTTTTTAAAAGTTTAAAATGTATTTTGAATGTTCCTGTAATATATATGTATACATTAAATATACAGAAATATAATATTTATACAAATAGTACATGTTTTGTTAACAAAATTAGAAAATTAAAGTTAAAAAGTTAAAAAATGTTTAAAAGTTTTGTTGAAAACAAAAATGTATTAAATATATTAAAAAAGACATTAGCTAGGATACCTAAAGAGGGATTTTATAAGTTCAAATATCTTTTTATTTGATTAGTTATCATAAAAGCTTTAGTGTTGTTTGATACTAATAAATTCTAACCCATGTAACATCAATTATAAAAATATAAAAATATATAAAATAAAGATGTTATAAAAATACAAAAAAATAATAGTAGTATAAAATAATTTTATTACACAATAGAGGTTTAAAATGAGTTCAGTATATATGTACAAAAAAAAAACGATTCAATTTTTTTTTACTTAAGCTTTAAATATTTTTTATTTACTGTAGATTTTGAAAGAGCAAATTTAGAAGTTAAATTTTTAAAATTCAAATTAAATAACATTATATCATATTTTTGGAAAGAATAGACACAAAATCACACACTTAAAAAAATAAAACCATTATAGAGATGTTTTGATTAAGATATGAGCCAGCAAATGCCATGTGGTTCTCCTAAGTTAAGCACTAAAGTTGTAAAAGCCTTCAAAGTTTGTCTAAAAACAATACCCTAAATGCCCACTAAAATGGTCCCAAGTTTATTAAAATCAAAACAGATTGTGTTATGTGTTATAACATTAGACAGAAACATGATATTTTCATAAAGTATAGTAATTGCAAATATCGTATATTGTTTTAATAATATTATTATAAATTATATTATATATTTAATAAGTATAATTATGAATACATTGTTTCAATTATTTTTTTAATAAAAAACGCAGCTTTCAAATAAACAAAATTTTAAAAATCCACTAAACAATCATTTGTGTGTCAAAAAATAAATAGTTAACCTAAATAAAACCCTTCTTAATGTTAATTAATTATGTGATTTGATTTTAATAAAATTTGGAGCTTTTTGAGCTTCGTCTTCTTCTTCTTGCTTTCTTTCTCTCTTCTTCTTCTTCTTCTTCTTATTATTATTATTTTTAATTTTTGAAACCTGCAATATTATCCTGAAATCCATCCATCCATCCATCCATCCATCCATGTCATCCATGGATGAATTCTAAACCCTAAACCTGGTCTTAAAAAATAGCATAGACAACACATGTATAAAACATTTTTTTTAGAAATTGCCCGAAATCCTTTCATCCATCCATCCATGGATGAATGTGTGTAGCCCTCCACGCCCCCTAGAAAGGCAGTTTCTCACGCACCTTGAAAGGCAGTACACATTGATTGACTATCAACAACGAAGGGGAATACGGTAAGTATTTATATTTTATGAGGGTGAGTCGGGGCCAAGGTACAAAATGAGCTCGCTCGCAAATGGCCCCGAGGCTATGAATGGAGTCGTCTTCCATGCTTTTGCTTCAGTTGCCGCCGCTCGGTGGTGGTGGTCGAAGAGCAACAACGGAACAGATTAACTTACGATGATGAACTGAAGAAGAAGTTGTGGGGATTCGTCGTCTCCTTCTTCATCTTCTTCTCCGTCCGTCCTCTGGTTGCGACTTTTTCCATGAATGTAGCTTAGCTCCGCGTGAATCCTGCCAAGGTAGGGTGGTACATGCAGCCAGCGGTAGCGGCAGGAGAAGCAGCAGCAGTAGCGATGGAGATAAGAATGACAAGGCTTTTCAAATGACAGGTCATGAGTGGTGGTCGATTTCGAGGTAAGGGTGCGACGGAGCGGGGCTGGTCAATAAGACCAGACCTTTCTCAGCAGAAGAAGCAGCTGCAGCACTGGTTTTAGTGGACTGGGTAGTATTTCGACAACCCGGCAGCTGATTCCACAACGCCAATGGCAAGCGCGTTCCCCCAGCGGGACGCAGTAATGGGTAGTGTGGCCAGCGTTCAACGCACAGTCAACGGTGCGCACCCACGAAGCACGACAGGACGATAATAATCTAATAGCCTCAATACATAAGTGGTAAAAACAGTTTTTTACTTTTTATTTATTTTTAGTACGTATTATTGTCGATGCATGCTGTGGCACGAACAGGAAGACTTCGTCGTTCCATGGACTGTTTTGGCTCTCTTTTCTTGCTCGATGCGTGTAGCTCGCAGGATTTTTAGGCTTACAGGAGCAGCAGAGTGTTTGCATCGCCGTGTCTGTGTTGCGTAAGAGGGTGATCTATGTGTTACTGGAGGTAGCGAGCGTTGGGCGTCTGTGATTTGGCTTTCCAGCGACGCATTTTGCACCAGGTTTGAGTGAGAATGGGTTGTGTTTGCGGTGGGGTCGTGGTGGTTTTGGTCTAGGGTTTCGTGGGTGGGGATAGGAGAGCTATGGATCAGTATTGGAAGGTTTTTGGTGGTGGTGTAAGGTGTTGAGAGGTTGAATCTTGGTAAGGCTGTGTTTTCGATGGTTAGTCGCAGAGTTTGGCCTTTGTAAGTGTAGATGGTCACGTGGTTGATTTAGGTTGTAGCACAGATCTTGATGAATTGGCGAAGACGCAGGTAGCGGCAGAGGAGCTGTAAGATCCCAATAGCATGGCTCAAATCAGGCGGCGTGGAGTATTTAGGCAGAGGGCAGAATCACCTATGGCAGACATGTCGCCTCCTCCTGAGAGTATGTCGTCCCAGGCGCTGGTCAATTCCATAGTGGCTCTAGCGCAGCAGGTTGCTAGTCCCGACAGGCCGCAATTGTGTCAGAAGCGGAACGCGGCAAATCTTACCCGCAGGATTAAGTTGTTGTCTCCACTGTTCGAGGAGATTCGTGATACAAATCCGCCGATGCCTCCATCTGCGCTAATCGCATTCCGGGACATTTTCCATGTGATGTCCAAGACAAAGGAGTTGTTGGATGACTGCAGGGAATCTAGTGTTTTCTTGTTAGTCTTTAGAAACAAATCTACGTCGGAGAAATTTCATGAAATTACCGTAAGCTTGGCTTCTGCTCTGGATGTTTTGCCCCTAGAACTTCTTGAAATCTCTGACGAAGTCCGAGAGCAGGTGGAGCTGGTTAAGTTGCATCTTCAGCGAGCCAGTCTTATCGTGGACCCAGCGGAGGATGCACTAGCGGAGGAGGTGATCGAACTTTTGGCTCAATTCGAGAGGAAAGAGGAGCCTGACGCTGCGCAATTGCAAAAGTTGTTTTCGAAGTTGGAGTTAAAAAATGCGAGAGACTGTGAGAAGGAAGTGCAGGCACTGGAAGCAGGGTTGGAGTTTGTTGATGATGCAGAGGAAACACTCGCTTCTGTGACTAATCTCGTAGTATTTGTTCGCTATGGAAAGTGTGTCCTCTACGGGGTGGCCGAGATGGAGAGTGGTTCTAATGGGCCTCGAACTTCATCTGGTGAGGGCGACAGCGAGGTCTCTACGAGCGGACGAAGTGATGTAGTTGTGAATCCTCCTGATGAGTTTCGCTGCCCCATCTCTCTCGACCTCATGCGCGATCCAGTGATTGTCGCCACTGGTCAAACCTACGACCGCATCTCAATTTCCAAGTGGATTGAGGCAGGTCATCTTACATGCCCAAAGAGTGGGCAGAAGCTTGGTCATGTGAACTTGATCCCTAATTACGCACTACGGAGCCTGATCTCACAGTGGTGCGAAGACTATCATATTCCATTTGATAAGCTTGAGAAAGGTTCCAAAGGAGGAGCAGGGAATAACCAGGTAGCGACTTCGAAGGCTGCCCTTGAAGCAACCAAAATGACGGCATCTTTTCTGGTGGGTAAGCTGGCCACAGGTTCTCCCGAGGTGCAGAAACAGGTTGCGTACGAGCTGCGGTTGCTTGCCAAATGCGGCACGGAGAACAGAATGTGCATAGCAGAGGCAGGGGCAATTCCATATCTTGTCACGCTTCTCTCGTCAAAGGATCCCAAAACCCAAGAGAATGCCGTTACCGCGCTTCTCAACCTCTCAATTTATGATAACAACAAGCCATTGATAATCGAGGCTGGCGCTCTGGATCCTATCATAGATGTCCTTAGCTTCGGTGCAAGCATGGAGGCCAGGGAAAATGCTGCGGCAACGCTTTTCTCTTTGTCTGTGGTGGATGGATACAAGATCGCGATTGGCAGGAGACCAGCTGCCATTCCTGCTCTCGTGGCACTTCTCAGGGACGGCACACCGCGAAGAGGAAAGAAAGATGCCGCTTCTGCCCTCTTCAATCTTGCTGTCTATCACGGCAATAAGTCTGCCATTGTAGAATCGGGCGCTGTTACGATCCTGGTTTCTCTTCTTGGGGAAGAAGAGGGTGGCATTGCCGATGATGCATTGATGGTCCTGGCACTCGTGGCAGGATCAACTGAGGGCCTCACAGCCATCGCCGAGGCATCCGCCATTCCCATTTTGGTTCGGATGCTGAGGGTGGGGACTCCAAAGGGCAGAGAGAATGCCATTGCCGTGTTACTAGCTCTCTGCAGGAATGGAGGAGAACGAATTGTCTCCGCCGTCATGCAGGTTAACACTGCAGTTCCTTCATTATACTCATTGCTCACAATGGGCACTCCACGAGCGAAGCGCAAAGCAAGCTCCCTCCTGAAGCTTCTTCACAAAAGGGATCCGGCTGACCATCAGAATCCACCGAGCACCAACTTTGTACCGACAACTCAACTTGGGCAGGTAGCAACTAGGCAGTAACCTAACCCGTTGGGGAACACCGACTAACTTATAGGATATAGGGAATTGGAGAGCGCGTTTCGCTCTCATAGTGTAGCAGTGTGTGCTGCCTGTGTACAAAATTAGTTTAGCTCCATGTTCTCGATTCTTTCTGGGGCTGTTGATGGAGCACATCCGCAAGTATGTCTTCCATATCCTCGTAAATCCTCCAATATAATTTTTTCGGTGTAATCTGCAGTATGCACTTCTGCATTTCTCATCTCCTGTGCGTATTTATATTGAATTTTCGTGGTTTCTCCCCTAGGGTCATGTTATTGAAAGACTGTGGCTTCTTTCTCCGAACAGTTACTTTCTTGTGTCCATTCTGTCCATGGGTCATCTTTGTCAAGCTTTGTTTTCAAGTTGCATGGTTTGGAGATACCTGTGAATCATCCTGTTGCAAATAAATGTACTGACTTCGTCCCTCTCCAAACCATATACTTTGGGAGCATCCATGTAGACTCAATTATCGAAAACCATTGACAGTGTGCTTACAAACAGATGGTTTTATAGAAGCAACAACAGAGACAACAGATCACAGATCTGCACCAGCGTATCCATCACTCCTTTCAACAAAATAGTTGGTATAAGTTATTGTCTTTAGTCACCGTCAATAATAATAAGAAAACTGCTCATGATCTTCGACGGTGCTCTTAAATGTGCAGAGAAGCAATTCGGCTGGTATTATAAATGACCATAAAATTCTCAGGTGCATTGAAGTGAGACACACTTACTATGGATTTTAGTTTGCTTCTTAAAATCTGAAGGCGATCAATTCTGAGCTCAGACGATGGCCACCGGTGTCTTAGGGATGTCTCCCTTGTGTTCCATACATTGTTTGTTAGTTGCAAATGACCTACACATTAATGCAATGGATCGAAACCAAATAAGTCAAAACCGCTTCAATCCAATCTGCTGCAACTGATGCTCCTTCCAGGAAGACAACGTCAACATACTTGCCCATCAAACCTACAAAGTGCTGAGCATTAGGTGTGGCTTTTCTGCAATGTGGTTAAATTCTTCTGCAGGAGCTCGCTGTCACTGAATACTCCACCGAAGTACACTCTATCTGAGGATGATGAGGATGACTTCTCTCTCCTTATGTGTATGTATTTTTTTCCTTTACACACATTGAATAATCTTTTTATCTTATTAAGAAAAATCATGTAGCAAATCATGAATCATAGTTGGTGGAAATGGACTACATTCTACAACTAGGAGTCTTACTAGACAGTCTTCTATATGCAAGTATTGGCTAAGTTCATGCAATGGAAGATGTACATTCTATGCAAGTATTGGCTAAGTTCATACTTTTTGGATTCATAAATGTACCACCTACTTTCCAACCTCTAATGAATAATATTTTCTAAGAATTTCTAGATAATTTTATTATTTATTATTTAAAAAATATTTGAATCTATTTTAAAAACACAAAAGATCATGAACTTTATATTTTTTGTATGTTATAAAAACTTAGAGATGTATAGAATATATGCTAAAGTAGCGAACTTTTATTCTATACTTTACATAACTTAAGTTCATATCTGAACTAAGACTAGACTATCTCAAAAACCTAAGATCCTTTTAATCCACAATAACATAAAGTTGTTATGGACATACGCATGTAAGCTAGTAATTACATGTATAAATAGGTTGAAATAAGTAAAAATAGGTAAAAATAAGTTAATTCTATAGTATTTGGTATAGAAGCTTTATAGACGCTGCTTTGACTTTATAGGTGTCTTTAATTGACTTTTTGGTATTAAAAACGTGATCAACAAGTTGGCCATGTGCCACATATGTTGTTAGCTTGAAGACTAAGCTAACTATATAGCCCACACATAGAAAAACTTGCCTTGTAAGTCAAGGCATGTGTCCTATAAAGTCAACACATATTGGAGGTCCTGTAAAACGTCGCCACGTAGCTCCTAGTTAGATAGTATATATAGAGACAAGAGTAAAGTCTTCTTCAGTCTTGTCAACTCCTTTCTTACTTCCAGTCAAGTTTCAAGGGTCTTTAGTTTTCTTGGCTTTTGATAATAGCCATTCCAGTTTCTTTCATAATATATATATGAAGTTATTTCTATTTTGTCATCTTTCTATAAGAGAAGTCTGACTTGTTTATTTGTCTTTATTATGTTCTTGTCCTTGATAGATTGACAAGAGTACACTTACAATATCAGAGCTTTATCTAATCTTGATTAAGAATGAATTACCCCCTTTTCTTGATAAGACATAAGTATATTAGAAGTTGCGGATTATCCTCTTTTAAACTGATATCGTCCTTAGTATTTTCTTTATTCTCAAGTCCTCTCTTCTGTTTGTCTTGAGTGTTATTAGACATCTTCTCTTTTCTCAGTGTTATCATGGTAGAACTTCTTGAAATGAAGAGTGCAATGGCACAAATGCAAGAACAATTGAGGAAGTTAATGCTTGCGATGCATCAATTCAATTTACCACGAGTGGAAGCAAAAAGATTGGCAGGAAGTGAAGATATAGAAATGATTAGAGCTGCTTCAACATCCGCACCAAATCATGTCCCTTTTCTTATGGTGGAACGCCCTTCTAGTGTTAGAGAACCAAGAATTGTCTTATCCGAGAAGTTTGATGGCACTAGATCAAAGTTTAGAGGATTTATCAATCAAGTACAACTTGTAATTGAACTTCAACTCCAAAACTACCTAACTCCAGGATCATAAGTTAGATTCATTAATACGCTTCTTTCAAATTCAACATTATCATGGTTTTCATCTTTTCTTAAACGACCATAAATATTGGATAATCTAGAAGCTTTTTTGGTGAAGTTTCGATCCATGTATGGAAAACATGATGCAATTTGTATTGCAACCAATAAGATCCATATTTTACGACAAGACAATTGATCAGTAACATTGTATGCTTCATAGTTTTGACAACTTGCAACTAATATCAAGTAAGATGATGCTGCACTTATTAGCCAATTTCTCTAGGGATTACAATATGAAGTAAAAAAATTAATGCTCCTTACATGATCGTCAAAAATTGAGTCAAGTAATTGACTTTGCTGTGAAGTGCGACAATCACCTTTTTGAATTTCGATCTGAGAACTGTACAAGTGGATCTCAACGTTGTCATGTTGTAACACGATTATATGGTGAAAGATGATAATATGGATCATATTATAGAAGAGCCAAGTTAAAAGAAAAGGTAGAAAAATATGGATAAAAGACATGAAGATAGTAAAACTTTTAGTAGTAATGCTGCCCTTTTAATAGAAATAGCTTCTATTTACTCTATAGGGCCAAAAATAAGGCAAAATAAGGTAGATTGAAAAAATAAATGATATAGACATCTTTAAGAGGAAGTTAAGAGTAAATTCTAGTAAAAATTACTTTAAAAAAACTAGATGTTGATATTCGGAGAGGGTCGGTTATGAACCAGGGTCGAAATCAAACCCTGAGGCACAAAACTGAGTCTCGATGACAACTCCGAGACTCTTTAGCAGATCGGAGAGTGGAATTTGATAGAAAATTAGATAGGGTTTTTATAGGCATCAATTTTGGGCGTTTTGGAATTGTAATGACTTTGTAATAGCTTTGCAAAGTCAAGGTTTGTTTCAGATGACTTGGATTTTATGAAATAAAATAGAATTTACGTTTTGGGTGATTTTTTGAGTTTTGTTATAGATCTATGAGTGAAATTTTGTGGAATTATGGTTATAAATGTGTTCAATATGTATTGTGAATTTGAGCTCGATCTAATGGTTGAATTGAGAGATATTAAGGTTTAAGTGGGTCAAGATCTTAGAAAGTAGAATTTTAGGTCTAGTGTGGATTTTTAAGATTTCTTGCAATCTACTAGTTGGATTGGAACAAAACTTATATGAGAAGATATAAGACTTGATTTTCTATGTGTATGAGAATTTTGAAATCAATCGAACGGTGCAAAAGAGAGATATTGGCTCTAGAAGACTGACATTAAGATTAAAGAAGGAGGCCTACCAATACTCAAGCACATTTTTGAGGTTATCATCAATTTGGTAACTCCAATTATTTTTAATTTTTTGTGCTTATTCTTAACTTATTTTTTTAGAAGTATGCAAAATTTGAATTAAGATCAACGGTTTATTCATTAGTTATTCAGATTTAAATCTATTATAGGAATTACTAGGGTTTGGTTCTAGGGTTTGGTTAGGGTTTATTTAGGATTTAGGATTTGGTTAGGATTTAGTTTAGGATTTAGGATTTGGATTAGGATTTGGTTAGGGTTTGATTTAAAATTTAAGGTTTAGTTAGAATTTATTTTAGGATTTAAGATTTGGTTAGGGTTTGATTTAGGATTTAAGATTTGGATTAGGATTTGGATTAGGGTTTGGATTAGGGTTTGGTTTAGGATTTAGGATTTGGATTAGGATTTGATTAGGATTTGATTTAGGATTTAGGGTTTGGTTAGGATTTGGTTTAGGATTTGATTGGGATTTGGTTTAAGGTTTGTTTAGGGTTTGATTCAGGGTTTAGGATTTTATTAGGATTTAAGATTAAATTAGTTTTGGCCTAAAGTTTGAATGAAGTTCAATAGGATTTTAACTAGAATTAAATTAAGATTGAATTGAGATGTATTTGAGTAATATTTGTGATCCTTTTAATATTTCTTTAAGAATTCTTATTGTTTGTTTGAAATTTCTTTGAGATTTTTTTGAATTTGATTAAGCTTGCTTAGCATTAGTATGGTCTAATTAGAGCATTGTTAATATTCTATTAGAATTAGGATTTTGTCATTGTAATTTCCATTCTTCCTTCCACAGTCAGGTGCCCGGAGCATTCTCAAGCAAGACTTCATGTATTATGACAATGTTACTATAATTCAATGGCAACACCAACATCTCTTCAGCACATACATTCGGAAGTAGAGGATATGTAAATTGATGCAGTATATTTCAAATCTCTTACTAAGTAAGAAAAGACTCGTTGTCGTCAAGAAAGATTGTGCTTATATTGTGGAGAACCTAAGCACAATACTCAACATTGTCCAAAGAAGCCATGGAACCATAAAATGAGGAGTATGGTGATCAAAGAAGATAGCATGTCGGAAAATAAATTTGTCCAGCTACAATAGAGACCATGCACTTGGAACCTTGTACAATGCCTGGTGAAGGTCCTATCTTCTCCTTAGAACCCTCTCCATGTTTTACGATAAATGTTATTCTAGGACCTAAACATCTCAAAGACTCTGCCTTGCTAG